GCTATGTTTTTTGCTCGGTTTCAGTTTAAGGCAACATACCTGCCTGGGAAGAAAAATATCAAGGCTGATGCCCTGTCTCGACTTTATGATCCCCCCGAGGCAATTGATCATTCCGAAACCATATTGGCACCAACCTGCTTTGCTGCTACAATCACTTGGTCACTAGAGGAAACCATTCGCGCCGCCAATGACTACTGGATGCCCCATTGGTAAGTTGTACGTCCCCGACAACTTCCGATCTGCTGTTATTCAATGGGTACATACGTCACGGGGTACGGGACATCCGAGGGGCTCCGCGACCCAACATTTAGTCTCGCGACGGTATTGGTGGCCGGGCTGGAGATCGGAGGTAGAGCAGTACGTCGCCTCCTGTCCTGAGTGTGCCCAACTCAAGTCATCCCACCAATCACCAGCAGGACTGCTGCACCCCCTTCCAATCCCATCTCGTCCCTGGTCTCATTTGGGCATGGACTTCATCACTGACTTACCCCTCTCCCGAGGTAACACCGTCGTACTCACTGTTGTGGACCGGTTCTCGAAAATGTGTCGCCTAATTGCTCTGCCTAAGCTTCCTAGTGCTACGGAATTAGCCGACGTCTTGATTCAGTGGATATTCCGATATTATGGTATACCAGAAGACCTAGTGTCAGACCGAGGTCCACAGTTCACCTCACACGTGTATAAAGCTTTCTGTGCCAAGCTCAACGTTTCTCTCAGTCCCACCTCTGCATATCACCCTCAATCGAACGGACTCGCCGAACGAACCAACCAGGAAGTCTCGAAAGCACTACACCTGCTCTGCAAGGACAAACTCTCTGACTGGGCCAGTCACCTCGTCTGGGCAGAATACGGTATAAATACCCGCATAAACCCTGTCACTCGCATGTCACCCTTTCAGTGTGTTTTAGGTTTCCAACCCGGACTTTTCCCATGGGATGCGGAGACCAGTGACGTCCCTCAAGTGGAGACCTGGTATCGGACTGCTAGAGAGGTTTGGCAAAAGTCACATTCAGCTCTCTCCGCCCAAGCAGCTCGACAACAAACCCAAGCGAATAGACATCGACGCCCTGCCCCAGCATACCGACCGGGACAGTGGGTCTGGCTCTTGACCCGAAATCTTAAGCTTCCCGCATGCCGTAAGTTGTCTGCCAGGTTCATCGGTCCTTTTAAGATCATCCACCAAGTAGGTCCCGACACCTTTCGTTTAGACCTTCCCCGTGTTTATCGTATTCATCCTACCTTCCACGTCTCCCTCTTGAAGCCGGTCAGGTACAGTGCCGCGCATCCCTCTCCTGATTCCGCCGCCTCGTATCTTGCAAGACGGGTCCCACGTCTACCAGGTTCGAGCGCTCCTGGACTCCCGGCGACGGGCCGGGACTCTACAGTACCTCGTGGACTGGGACAGCTTTGGCCCTGAGGAGCGTTCGTGGGTGCCGGCAAGGGATATCCTGGACCCTGACCTGGTGTCCGCCTTTCATCGCGACCACCCCTCCAAGCCGGCACCCCGTCCCAGGGGTCGCCCACGCCATCACTCTCGGCCTCCGGGAGGTGGCCGTTTGGGGGGGGGCCCTGTCAGGCTCAGAGGGGCGGGGCAGAACAGCTGCAACCCATGATCTACTAACGAGTTCTCTACTTAAAGCAGTGACCTCCCATACTACTTTGCGAAGTATTGTTNTTAATACTACATTTCTACATGAGTTATGGATGACATACAGTGTAGTTCATGTAATGCTGTTTTGCCACTTATGTGCAGTTCGAAACAACACGCCCCCACTTTTACCTGTCCCACAAGTGATGGCTGAAGCCATGTGTAGTAAGTCAAGTATTTACTGGTTTTTTTTTGTGTGCTTTTTTTTCTCCTTTTAAACTATACTGTAGAAAATGAGGTAAGAGTGCACCTTTTTGTAATTACCTATTTGTTTCCATTGCAGAGGACAGTGAAGAAACCCTGTCTGACGAGTGTCCGGAGGAATTACCTGTAAGAATGTATGATACAGGCGTATGTGTCTTTATGTGTATGTAATTGTCACGCCCGGCTCGTCCGATCCCCGCGTGTATGCCACGCCCCCCTCGTTACCTCGTGTTACTTCCCGATTGTGATCACCTGATGCCTGTTATTTCGGCTTGTTTCATGTATATGAATCCATGTCTTCCTTAGTTTGGTGTCCGTCATTGATGTTCTGATGCTTTGCTTTCTGCCCTGTTTCCCCGAATAAACCCTCGTTTACTCGTATGCACGGCTCTATCGCAAACCAGCGAGAACCAGCGTCTCGGTCTGCTGCAAGAGGTGGTGTACTGGCTGTCCCAACCCGAGGTCCAGGAGGACCCCATAGCCCGTGACTTGGCCAGCCGGAGCGGGGACCTCCTGAGTGAGCACCCCCACCCGGAAACGCGTACCCCCTGCAGGATTTTATTATTTGTGAGTCCCCACCTCCAGAGAGGTCTACATATAGGGCTCCAGAAGACTCCGCGCACAGAAGTGAAACTGAGGTGGCCAGTGTTATACTTGTCATTGAATTTTGTTGTGAGAGGCACATATTGAGGTGTCCCCCTTTTGTTTTTCTGTTTTTTTTACATTTTCTTTTTCTCCTCCACAACTGGCACAGAGTGACATCTGTTCTTTGTACCGAAGAAACCTTCAGCTTAAAAATTACTACTTAGTATTGATGAAACGGAGAGTGGAAGCACAAATTGAAGTGGATAATTAAAAAAAATTTCAGTTTCAGTTGCTTCAAAAGGAACTTCACAGTAAGTAATGTGACTTTCACACATAGTACCCTACTATTGTTGACCTTGTATAACTCTCTCTCTCTCTCTCTTATTGCAGGCAAAAGATGAAAGATGTGCTTAATTTCAAATAAAACACAAGAAAATAACCATATTTGTGTTGTGTTGTTCTTTTATTCTGTTAATAATTATGTGAAATGGTATTCCACAATTCTGTCCCGTGCAGCTTTGCCACTAGGTTGATCCAGGTGCACTGGCTGGAGGTCATCATCAGGATGCATCTCCACCACAGGGGTCCTCTCCTTTCTGATGGTGGCAATGTTGTGTAAGACAGAACATGCAACAGTAATGTCACAGGCCCTGTCAGGTGCAACCCTCAGAATTTTCAGACACTGAAATCTTCCCTTCAGTTGCCCAAAGGTCATTTCAATGCGTGCCCTTGTCCTAGTTAGAGCTTGTGGACCTGGGTCTGTGTCTGGGAATGGAGTCATGAAATACTGTCTGCAGGCATAACCCTTGTCTCCAATAAGAACCCCATTGTAATCACCTGATTTATGGGAAAAGTCAATTATGTTAGGCCCAGCTTACTGTAAGTGTAAGTAAAAGTGTATTGAGCTTCACATTTTCTATTTCCCTTGCCATGTTCAAATCTTTGGAACAAATGTGACTCTCTGAAAATTCTGGAGTCATGCACTGAACCAGGCCATTTGGCTTCCACATTCGTAATGTGGCACAAAGAATCACACACCATCTTAGAAATCAGTCAAATGCATACTGAGTCAGTCAAATGCATACTTTTTCATTCCATTACATTAAAACAGTTCTTATATTAACTTACCTGCACATTAACACTGTGGACACCCTTTCGATTCACAAAATCCCCTTCATTGGGGATCCCCTTGATAGGAATGTGGGTGCAGTCTATAGCACCAATCACATTAGGGAAGCCTGGGGACACACTTCATACTTATTGGAATGATCATAATTGCATTATTTTCATCAACAATATCTATACCGTACCTGCAATGGCAAAAAACTTCTGTTTTACAGCTTGGGGTCTTAAGTGGCTTAGAAATAACACAAATACTTTGCGAATAGCACGGCAGACAACACTTTTCGCCACGTACTCCGCGTCTCCAACGGTGTAAAGGAAAGTGCCACTCGCAAAGAACCTCAGGGCAATTCACACAGTTTGTGTGGTTGTTAACGCTCGACTCCGGTGTGTTGAACATTTCACATGGGGGTTTAACAAAGAAATTATATAAATGATACCCTCACGAGAAAAGTGGTATCTCTCAAGAAGTACAATATATTGTCATGCTGCGCCAAAGGATCCTGTCTATCACGCAATACACGAGGAATTTGAAAAACTGCCATCTGCATTTGACCAACAACAAAGTTCTCCTGTCCTCTGTCACCTCGTATCAACCGAGGACAGCCTGAGAAATTTTATTCTCACCAACATGCGCATAATCCTCGCACCTTCAGTAACTGGTTGCTCTCTCATAAACGGACAAGACATGGCTGCGACAGATTTGAGAAAATTACCTCCACTTATATAGATGCAATCGGGGGATAGAATGTGACATATTATTAGACACACACGGCGATTAACACACGAATGATGACCATAGCCACACACACATGTATACATACAGTATACTGTATGTATGTTTAAATACATCCATCCATATATATATGCAAGATACTTTTCTTTTCTCACGTGAGTCAGTCCGCATCAGTCGTGCTCTTTAACCAATCAGATGTGACCTCGCCATTTCATAACCCACTCAGGAGCGCAGCCTAAATCCTGTTTACATGAAATAAACCTGCTCCTGAGCAGGTTTAAGCTTACGGACCTGTTGCTATGACAGCAAGTCCGAGATGCTCATCGAAGAACGAAACTATCCAAGATCAGGACAAATCCACAACAATCAAATCCAGCTAACTGAGTTAGCGACGTACGAAGAACGGACCCCTTGTGATCTTAGTACACAGCTAATTTTCTTTTGTTTAAATCCCTGGTTTTTATCATTGCATCTACAAAAGTGTTAAGTGTGACAACCACCTTTCTATTACCACCTCTATCAGCCAAACATGTTAAGGATTTAAATGTAATTACACCCATCCATCCATCCATTTACTTCCGCTTATCCAAGGTCCGAGTCGCGGGGGTAGCAGTCTCAGCAGGGAAACCCAGACTTCCCTCTCCNGAGTATTACTACAGTTACAATCTAAGGAATTAATCACTTAAATTAAAAAGATTAAATGGGTACCATCAATGTGCCAGGTGTCATTGGGGCCATGGCTGATGTAATTCCTACGCTGGATTTTCTTCTTACCAGGAGATCTTCTCTGAAGACCACTTGCATCCAGCTCCCTCATTATTTCAGCAACATCATCTCTATATTAACAACTGGTTACAAATAAAACTCTAAAGTAAAATGATACTATATAATGAGAATATAAACAACATAGCATAAAACCAACCTGTAGCAAGGCTGCACTCCTCTGACATCTCGAACACGTTTTAGCATTGCTCGAATTCCCTGTTCAGGCGACCAGTGTCTCAGCTCGCTCTGGGAAGAACACATTACATAATTATTAAACCATATGAATTATCATAAGGACAAATGTTGCATATACAACTAGATCAACTAAAAAGTATTTGATATTTCTGCAAATAGCCTGCAGCACAGATTCCAGGAAAACTAAAATGGTAATCTTTAACGTAGTTATCTTCATTTTCTTTTAAGATACTGGCAAATCAATGTGTTTCATGGTTTACAACAGCAACCAAGAAAAAGGCGGAACAGAAAAAAACAGGTGGTGGTCCGGCACCCTCTCCCTATACCACAGCAGAAGAGCTAGCCCTTGGTTTCAATAGTAACAGA